GGTTTTCGGCTGCTGAAAAGGTTAATGTAACTCCATTTGGGAATGAAGAGGTTAATGTAACTTCATTTGGAAATGAAAAGGCTAATGTAAACTCCCTACTCCCATCCTGGGCAAGGTATCAGAAGACGGCTCGCTCCCTTGCTTCTAGGCAAGGACAATTAGCTCAGAAGGAGCCAAACTGTCTGGAGCAAACAAGTAGCCCCCTCCTCTCTAGAGTAAGGTGACCAGACTTCCCGCTTTTGGCGGAACAGTCCCGATTTTTAACAATTTGTCCTGCGTCCTGCGTTTTAAAAAAAGCCCCGATTTTTGGAAAGAATGCACAAGCTAGGGAACACCGGAGAACAGGAAGGGCATATACGGTTTTTGGTTACCATGTGGCTATTTCACCAGGATATGCGTTTTAATTATTTTTGTTAATTTTATAATGTTAAACTTTAACAATAAATAATTGTTGAAAACTGATTATTGAGAACTGCTTATCAAAGTTTGCATTGTTGTCAGGCCCCGCCCCCCCAATGGTGTCCGGCTTTACCAATGTTAAAATCTGGTCATCTTAGGTTAATGACTATATAACGATCTGCCTGGCTGAGACTCCCTCAGATTATCATCGGAATGGTCCATGTCCCTTCCTGCTGGGCTTTTGGTGTAGACCAGCTGCCCCTATTTCCGGGGGTTCACCCAGTGTCGTTTGGACACCTTCTTTCCAAAAGCTGAGAATGCAGGGAATAGGTTACTGCAGAAGTTATTTGGTAATTTTTTTTAAGTAAAAGTTTGCCTTTAGTAACATCTAAAAGACTATGGGGGTTCAAGAGGTCCATGAATTCCCTGAAATTGCATGTACGTTTTTCTGGTCAGAAATGTACTGATCCCTAAATATGATTCTTGATTTAACAGCATAAAGAAACTGCCTCACACCACGAGTCCAAAGAACACTTACAAAAGCTCAATCGCTGACAATAATTATCAGTAGTGGCAGCCCTTAAATCTCAGTATTAAGGTGATTAAAAGAAAAAACTGGACCATCCAGATGATCCAGAATCTTACATTGTTAATCATGAAGAAAAATATGTATACACACATACACACAATAAGTATCTTGTTATTGAAAGATAAAGGGGTGGCACCTGTGACTCAAGGAGTAGGGTGCCAGCCCACCCGTGGCTGAAAAACTGCAACAACAACAAAAAGAAAGATAAAGGATCTCACCAAGCAAAGCAGAAAATCAAGGACACAAAGTGAGTGGTGTATGAAAAACCAGGAGCTAACAGCACAGCATATTGGGGTACTTGAGGGTAAAACAGAGTGGTGATGAAACTGATATACAAAGTCACATTAAAATTAGAATGAAATATAATGCAGTTTGAATAAACAATAGAAAGGCATCATATCAGTAAAATTGTAAAGAAATACTTTATTTACCTAAAGTCTTAGTATACCATTAAATTTAATTAGGGAAGAAAACGTACACGGGCTTCAAAAATTCTGAAGGGTATTTCTGGGTATTTAGGTAGGACTTTGAGATTGTGAGCCCTGCTGTTTTGTTTTTAAATGGGTCTAAAATTAAGACAAATTGTGTCTTTCCTTGGCAGTATCATATTAGCACAAAATTAGGACCACCAGTCTCAATTATGGTCAGATAGGAAAATGAGAGAAATGTTCCTGAGATAACTGGGTGAGGTGGAGGAGGGCAAGGAATGAGGTTATAGGATTTGTGTAGTGCACATAAGGAGAGGCAGATAGTTTCATTCACCAGAATTCCTCTTGGAAAAGCACTATACATGTAGAAATATTCTTCTGGGAATGAAGTGTAAGAGATCCCTCTTATTAAGAATGTGTTCAGGTACCACAGGTTACTAAATTGCCTTCTAATGTTCAAGTGGGTGAATTTTTTTTTTTTTTTTTTGAGACAGAGTCTCACTATGTCACCCTTGGTAGAGTGCCATGCCATCTCAGCTCACAGCAACCTCAAACTCTTGGGCTTAAGTGTAGCTGGGGCTACAGGAGCCCTCCCCAATGCCCGGCTATTTTTTGGTTGCAGTTGTCATTGTTGTTTAGCAGGCCTGGGCTGGGCTC